ATAGGAAAAAATGAGGGGAAATGGGGAAAAATTGAGGGGAAGAAATGGGGAAATGGGGGAAAAATGGGGAAAAATGAGGGCAAGTGGGAAAAAATAGGGGAAAATTTGAGGGGAAAATGGGGAAAAAATGGGGGAAAATGGGGAAAATGTGGGGGGAAATGGGGGAATGGGGGAAAATGTGGGGGGAAATAGGGGAGAAATGGGGAAAAAAGGGGAAATATTTGGGGAAATTTGGGGGAAATGGGGAAAAATGGGGGGAAAAGGGGAGGAAATGGGGAAAAAAGGGGAAAATATTTGGGGGAAAATGGGGAAATGGAGGGAAAAGGAGGGGAAGGGAGAGAAATGGGGAAAAAAGGGGAAAATATTTGGGGAAATTTGGGGGAAATTGGGGGGGAATAGGAAAAAATGAGGGGAAATGGGGAAAAATTGAGGGGAAGAAATGGGGGGAAATGGGGAAAAATGAGGGCAAGTGGGAAAAAATTGGGGAAAATTTGAGGGGAAATAGGGGAAAAATGGGGGAAAATGGGGAAAATGTGGGGGGAAATGGGGGAAAATGAGGGGGGAAATGGAAATGGGGAAAATAGGAAAAAAGGGGAAAATATTTGGGGAAATTGGGGGAAATCGGGGGAGATGGGGAAAAAATGGGGGGAAAATTGGGGAAAATGGAGGAATAAATGGGGGGAAATTGGGAAAAAATGGGGAGAAATAAGGGAAAAATGGGGGGAAAATGGGGAAATGGGGGGAAAATGGGGTAAAGTGAAGGAACTTCGGGATAAAATGGAAGAAATTGAGGATATTTGGGTTAAAATTAATTAAATTGGGGTGAAATGATGCAAATTTGGGTTGAAATTGAGCTAAAATGAAGAATATCAGATGGAAATTGCGGAAATTTGGGTTAAAATGAGGAAATTGATGAAAAATTGGTGAATTGGAGAAGGAATGGAAAAGGGAAATTGGATTACGCCAAAATGGCGGAAGACCCAAAAAATCACCAACAAAACCACCCCAAAAAATCTCAATTTTGGCCCAAAACTTGAAATGTTCCATTCCCACCTCGGCGTCACCCAACCCACGAACGCCCTGGGGACGGTGACGGCCCCGTTGTGCGGCAGATGACGACGCCGGGCTGCGCCACGGTGGACATGACGCTGCGGCGCAACGGCCTGGGCCAGCTGGGCTTCCACGTGCACCCCGACGGCAGCGTGGCCGAGGTGGAGGAGTACGGCTTCGCCTGGCAGGCCGGGCTGCGGCGCGGCAGCCGCCTGCTCGAGGTGTGCAAGGTGGCCGCCGTGGCGCTGAGCCACGAGCAGATGATCGACCTGCTGCGCACCTCGGTCACCGTCACCGTGGTCATCGTGCCGCCGCACGAGGATGGCACGCCCAGGAGGTTGGTGGTGTGGTTGGGTGTTGTTGGTGCCATCTTGGTGCCATCTTGTTATCATGGATGCCATTGGTGCCATTGGGATGTTGTGAGGGCCATCGGTGCCATTGGTGCCATCTTGGTGCCATTGGTGCCACTGAGATCTCTTGAGTGCCATTGGCGCCATCTTGGTATCATGGATGCCATTGGTGCCATCTTGGTGCCATTGGTGCCATCTGAGTGTCTTGGGTGCCATTGGTGCCATCTTGATGTCTTGGGTGCCATTGGAGCCACTGAGATCTCTTGAGTGCCATTGATGCCATCAGGGTGTCATGGATGCCATTGGTGCCATCTGGATGTCATTGGTGCCACTGACGCCATCTTGGTGCCATTGGCGCCATCAGGGTGTCATGGATGACTCCGGTGCCATCTTGGTGTCATGGATGCCATTGGTGCCATTGGGATGTTGTGAGTGCCATTGGTGCCATCTTGGTGCCATTGGTGTCATCTTGGTGCCATTGGTGCCATCTGATGGTCATGGATGCCATCGGTGCCATTGGGATGTTGGGAGTGCCATTGGTGCCACCCTTCTCCTTGTCCCTCTCCCAGTGCCACCGGTGCCACCAGTGCCACCTTTCCCCTGTCCCAGTGGTACCATCCCAGTCCCACCAGTGCCACCTTCCCCCTTGTCCCTGTCTCAGTCTCAGTGCCACCGGTGCCACCTTTCCCCTGTCCCTTGGGTGCCACCTTTCCCCTGTCCCATGGTACCACCAGTGCCACCTTTTCCCTGTCCCAGTGCCAGTGCCACCAGTGCCACCAGTGCCACCTTTCCCCTTGTCCCTGTCCCAGTGGTGCCATCCCAGTGCCACCGGTGCCACCCTTCCCCTTGTCCCTCTCCCAGTGCCACCAGTGCCACCAGTGCCATCTTTCCCCTGTCCCAGTGGTACCATCCCAGTGCCACCGGTGCCACCTTTCCCCTGTCCCAGTGCCACCAGTGCCACCTTTCCCCTGTCCCGTGGTACCACCAGTGCCACCTTTCCCCTCCGCCGGTGCCCCCTTTCCCCTGTCCCAGTGCCACCAGTGCCCCCTTTCCCCTGTCCCGTGGTACCACCAGTGCCACCTTTCCCCTGTCCCGTGGTACCACCAGTGCCACCTTTCCCCTTGTCCCAGTCCCAGTGCCACCAGTGCCACCAGTGCCACCTTTCCCCTGTCCCTTGGGTGCCACCTTTCCCCTGTCCCTCGATGCCACCAGTGCCACCTTTCCCCTTGTCACTGTCCCAGTGCCACCTTTCCCCTTGTCCCCATCCCAGTGCCACCAGTGCCAC